ATCAAGAGAAGATATGGTCAATATTTTCTTATCAACATTTGACCACATCCTACAAGATGTAGTTGCCATTTTTAATAAACTTGAAGACAAAACAAGATAAGGTATCCGAGGGTGGGGCGTGCCACCCATGTATGGTATGTGGAGCCCCACCTAATACCCACATGATGGGCCCATGTGCACTATGCGCCCCCCATGTATTTTTTTTAATAAATATTTTAAAAATAAATTTTAAAACATCATAACTTTGTAAATTAATAACTTCATTTTTATAAGTCAAAAAATAAGAAATAAAATGACTTACAAAAATTTAAATAATAAATCTAAAATAATTTAATAATAAAATTAACACAATTAAATTAATATGATGGGAAGTGGATCCATATGGTTCAGGAATTCAATCAACGATCATGGGGTACTCCTTCAACTGTGAACTACAGATCACACTTGTTTTATCGAACCAACCCAATGTTTTTCATGACCCACAGTCCAAGCAAGGGCTCATTAGCGGGTCACCAAAGTCTGGTCGATGAGCCGAAGAGTCGCAATCCCAGTCTGTGGATTACAAGTCCTCTCCTAGAGACAAGTCAAGGTCACCAGGACCTGATGCGACCACAGCTCTATGGCGCATAGGGGTATCTCTCGCACATGCATATGCTTCACGCAAAGGTGGATATCAAGTTTTCTTGAACGATCTATCTATATGCATGCCGTGTGATGGAATATGGATGAGGTTTTGGCCCCGTCTCTATAGGCTTACCATCACACACAAGGGTCACATAGTCCCTCGCCTCACTCATCTAGGCATAAGCTCCGACCTCATCAAGGGCTAACCCAAAAACCCTTCTCGGTTTATTTTTTATGTCCAAGTATCTTGGGTTTTTCAACTGACTGGCCTAGATCGTCAAGCACAGTCAGTTATCCGCAAATATCATTTGCTTAGTATGGTCTTCGAGGGACCACACTCCCACTGAATTTATGTTCCACTATAATAAATGCTTTTCATTACACACTCATAAGGCCTTTAAAATCTACATAAACCCAACAGTCCCAACCACTCTTGTACTTGGTACTTATACCCAATCCTCAACTAATTTGAGTTGGCAACATTAGATCTACAGTGAAGGATTCTTTTAATAAATATCCAATTATTTTTAATTGAAAATTTTACAAGAAAAGCAATAGGGGAAAACTCTATGAAAATCACTGCTTGGCACTGCAATCTGTGACTGTAGTTAGCTATTTTATGAGAACTTATTCCTCGTTCTTTTGTCTTTCTCAGAGAAATTTATTTAACATTTAGTAATCATCCAAAGAGCCTAGCAAGCTGTAGCAAGTCAGTAGGATCTATATATTCTCCATAAGTTTCTCTAGAAAGTGCTACTCAGAGAAAACTTTAATGAGTGTTTCACACAGCTCAGTCGTATCCTAGGGGCATATTCTTCATTAATCATTTACTGCTTGGAGATACTAAGACAATGGTTTTAATACCTCGAAGAAGATTAGTGTGCTTTTGAGTCGCTGTGAACTCTAGGCAGAACAATTATTCGAAACTTGTTGATGATTGATGTATTGTATTATGAGGAAATAGATATGCCAATGTGGAGTCAAAATGACGATTCCGGGAGGATGTTAAAAGTCAGAAGGGCTTTGTATCCATACATGAGGTATTTCGATAATTTGTATAATCTATCTGGTACTCGATATATATTGTTGCGATGAGGTTTTATTTAGGGTTATGGGAAAAACGTTTGTAATCAGATAGAGAACAGAGAGGCATGAGGAAAAGAGTTATTATAACCCTATTCTTCATTGTCAGAAGAAGCTCTTATCTCCCGTGGACGTAGGCACGTTGCCGAACCACGTATATCTTTGCGTTGTAGTTGGTTGTCTCTTTCTTTTGTGGTTGTTTCTTCTTTCTTGTTTTTGTAGATTGTTTTTAGGATTTTCTATAAAACTCTCATATGGAAACCAATTCTTATTGCTTTTTTTGTGCTTGCAGTCAATTCGAGCATCGGAAGGGTCTGCTAGAAACAAAGAATATGAGAGGGAATTGCTCTCGGTGTTTAAGCTGCCTAGAATAAGGTTGAGTTGAAGTTTTGACTGCCAATGACTGAGAACTTAGTGTTCTCAGTGCTGTCAAAGACCTGATTTAACTTCCCCTTTACTTCTATGCCTGTGGTTTGAACTTTGATTCACCATAGAAATCAATGATCCTGACTCAGTTCATTTCTCAGTTGCAAGTTTTAAACATAGTTAAGAACTGAGAAAGCCTGAAGGGAGACTAACTCTCAGCTCTCACACTTCGCTGAAGAAAGCAAAACGTGGCTATGATTTTGACCACAGATAGCAAAGGGCCTCATGGAAGTCGACACTAGCAAGGTACAAGCATGTGGCAGCTGACAGCATTCAGACACAGAATAGGAATTTTTGACCACAGGTAATTCAAACCTGAGAAGTTAGCCTCAAACTAAGTTTTTAATTAAGGAACAATGACTTCATAGCCTTTTGAAAGATTGACCCCACCTCTGTGTATTCCTAATGTTGGACTCACAACTCAACTGAGCGCAATTTTCATGTCCTTAAACTACACACAAACTCCATTTAAAATGATAGGTAAAGCAATACTACAAACTCTTATAGGGTGCCATATAGAAAGCCGGTGAAAGGATGATGTTTGCCCAACAAAATCCATAATGAAGACGAGTCTTTTGTAATATTGGTCCCAGAGATATGCTTACCAAAAAATTATGATAATGATGCTAATTTACAAGACAATACCTGCAAAGGGATTTAGAGTTCGTTGAGATTGCTGTGAAAACTATCAAATGCAATTAAGAATAATGAGCCAAAGATTAGAAAGGATCAGATGGAAAGTGTCATGGACACCTGAATCATTAGAAGAGCCGATGAGGTGCTTATTCAAAGTCACATTCACTTTGGTATGAGTAAATGGTCTTCAATGGTAATTCTCATTCCATGGTTTCAATACAAAAAGGTGTCCAATGACATGGATAGGTTGTAGTTCTTTGATTTGCCATCCGAAGACATTGAAGAGAGAGCAATAAGAGCCAAAAAAATATCCAAATAAACAAAAGTTACTGCTTGTGCTGATTTCCACAGGAAAATAGATGCGGATGTGAAAGGTAAAGAAGGCATTCTTTTAAAAAAAAGATGGACTCTTAATGGGAAAATCAGTTATTGTATAACTATACAAAGAGAAAGATAAATATATAGATGCCAGAGTGAAAGAAATGAGAAAGACAAACACATTAGACGCACAAGTGGGAGAAATGCATAGAAGAACATCAGTCACACATCAAAGCAGCAAATAAAACATCATCAATTGTTAGAAATGTAAACTTAGGTCTTTTACATGGATGGATGTAGATTCGAGCCCATAACTTAATTCGAAGTTGCTGGTTAAACCCTTCATTTGTGTGTTTCAACAAGTTTACATATCAAAAAAGGAAGAACGAAAAGATAAAAAACAAAATGTGAATGCATGCTATAGTGTAAACACCAAAAGAGTCACAATAAATTCCTCATATATCAAGATTGAACCAAAACCATGAAAATACACAATGTCACAACAAAACTTGCATATAAGACTAAGGTGCCTCATCAAATATCATATTTTCCTCTTTTGAAGCCACATTCAAAATCCATTACTTGAACAGAACCTGGGCACCTGGAGAAGCTGTTGGTAAGTACAACAAATCCCCAACAAGCGAAAGGTATCTTGCATTCAAATACCTTTCATAATTTATATGGCAAGTAATTGTCTTAATCACCTTTGCATTACTAACCAAATACCTAACCAACTCTTCTAGGTTTCCTTGGAAAGGAGATTCATATATTACCACTGTTTTGAGGTGGTGATCCCAACAATTAATAGGCCCCCGAGTTGTCAAAGAATGTGGAATAGTAGCATTGAAGTTCATTTCATATCTGTGCTGCAATGGCAAGAGACAATCCAGGAGAGCAGCATAACCATAACAATAATGAATAGTAACAAGAAGCACATTCTCACTAAGAATACTCACCCAAATATTGATTTCTTCTAGGAGTGGGCAGCACTTAAACCAGGCAACAAGCAACATGAGCCCATCCGAGCCTTCCAGATTCATTCGCAATCCCAGCCTCGTAAGATGACAGAAAGGTGAAATCTGAATTGAAAGGTTTACAATTCATTTTTCTTTTCAAATTCATGATCAAGTTGGCCAAGATTATAACCCTGTGAAATTTTGGTTACAAAATCCATTTCTAAAAGGACCCGGTTTCTATGCGGCCAAGCCCGCATAGGTAGAAATGCGGGCCATTTAATAAATCTATTCTTGAGATGGATTTTAAGACTTGATTTTTAAGGAC